TATCTTCCATAGAAACCTTAAAGAAAGGAGAATTTAACCTCGTGAATCACTTCTAATCTATGTCTATAGAGCCTTTCGACTCACTTGTCCTAGGCCGCACCAATCACATCGACCTTTCAAGAATACTTTCCTCATAATACTCTTCATCTCTATGTCTATGCACCTCAGCATGCAAATCATTTCGAGCTTCCTCTTGGTTAACCCCATTTTCTCAACTGTCCTGCTGCTCTCGCCAGGTCTTCTTCTAAGGATCTCATCATAACCATCCATTCTCCTCTGAATGTCCATCATCATATGCCTCAGCTCATCTAGAGCATTGTCTTTATTATCTTGTTAAGGTCCTAGTTGTTGGTCTTAGTTCATCAGTTCTTATTCCGGTCTTTGAACATTTTTTGGTACATTTTTGACATTTATGGCTCTTGTTTGCACCATATTCTCCCTTTTTAAGGATGGAAACAATCTCAAAATGAAAAAAGAGAGTTAACACTAGCTCGGTGAGGGAAATAACAAGTATAATGGGATATTGCCAATTCTCTATATGCAATGCACAACAATCTTAACCATAATTTTACATACACCACAAACTAGTTCTTAGAATCAGAGAAACTGATACTAAGTTGAAATATTCTTACTCCACTAAACCTAATTAACTAATAAAACTCATGGTAATTAAAGGATTAACTTAAAGAGTGATTACCAAGGTTTAGTTCAAAAGTAAGGGATCCTAAGTTTTCTAAATGACAATGAGTTTAGATCCATTAAAATCCTTTATATCAGAGTAAAAATAAATTTTGGATGCACGGGATATCTCAGAGGAGTGAAAAAAGTCAAAAACAAATGAAAAACAACTCACTTAATGTGTGACAGAGCAGTGCGCCATGGCTCGTGCACACTACACCATGGCGTGTTGCATGAAAATTAAACTAATTCTGTTGTCATTTGACAGCAGAATTAGGAAACTTTTGACGCTCCCTGATTCTCCATCCGAAGTTTGAATTGCGTGATTTAGGTGTCTACGAAAAACTCTTTACATGAACTAGATAATGGCATGGGTTTCACTTTCAAAACAAGTCACATTACACCCAAACACATTTTAACCACTTTTCAACACTTTTACATAAAATGGGTATCTAAAACTCTTAACAAGTACCAAAAGCTTTTCCTAACACTTGAACCATATCTAATGGACTTAGGATTACCATTATAACACGTCACTCACACTGAAACAATAGTATAACAAAAATTCACCCCTTAACCTCATTTTACCAAAAATAAAGAGGAAGGTAAATTGTCATTACTTTATACCCAAAACAATCAAAACATGCTCAAATGTCTATTTTTATACTTGCACTAGTATTTTGGCCCTATTAACAAATAAATATCAATATACATAAAGACTTAAGGCCCAAAATATAAATCTAACATTCCCGACAATAAAATAGTGCAAGTGTGATGGCATACATCCTAGAATTAGCGTTTATATACTATTACACAAAATAAATCTAAGCCAGAGGCATCTAGTAGGAATATGCTAATTCCTAGCCTCTTGAGCCTTCTCCTTTTCTCTATCAGAGCTAGAGCTTGAAAAATGTTAAATAAAAGGGGTGAGTCTAGCCACTTAGTAATTAAAGTTAAACCTATCTTATGCAGTTATATATCAATTATAAACCAAGTACCTGCATAAGGAACCAAGTATGTAAAACAAGCTCACGAATATCATAACTTGTCATTTATCATTAAATAACTTCTTTATCTCTCTTAAACTAGGTGTATTGTCACCATACTCTCAAATATGTGACATGACCTATTATTCACGTGGCTTGTCACCACTTAACGTGTGACATGTCATATATTTACTTAGGCAATGATCAGCTAACCTTATATCCTCTTTATTTTCTCAGACTGAAATTGTGAGCTATAATATTGATTAGGGCTCTATCCGTGTGACTGAACTATCCAAGCTCACTAATCTTGAGGTGTGACCTGGCCAAAGACCACAGGACTCACTCTCAGACCATGGCTTTCCTCATTCTCGAATCCCTGGGGTGTCTCATACCCTAAGCTATTCTCTTCATTAAACCGGTGGAGATAGCTAGGTTCTAGTCCCTCGACAGGCTATGAGACAGTCCCTCAAAAAACTATGGGACAAAGCTATTCCTTCGGTGCAACCTAAATACGATATGAATTTTTTTCTACTCACAATCCCTAGGCAAACTCCTGCCACTGATCATGTCATAATCAATTACTCACTCGTTTTTACTTTTTCATTTTCATATACTCATCATTACAACAATCATGTTGGGCTCACGACCATGCACTACCCAAGTATGTATTCTCATCATTTTCTCAAAATTCATTTCTCATTAACACACATCTATCTCACATAATCATCACACTCATTTTTTTAAAGACATATCATTTTCATATTCAAAAACATCTTAATTAGGCATTTGCATTTCAAGCCACAATAATCTTATGCATATTCAATTTTTCATATACTCATCGAAACAAACACATGCTTTTCACATTAAAAATCAACCCATGTATGTAACATTCACAATTTACATTTAACAATCAATTAACATATAACTACCCAAAGTAGGGCTTCCTCGATTACTTCAAACCTTTGAGAGATCAAAGATTTACCCCTCAATCTGCTAGCTTTCAAACTTGAATTTTCCAATCTAATAGGTGACCAAGAGTCAAAACTACAATCAACCAAGTTGAATTTCATCAACATTACCAATTCAAGCATTTACACCCTTAATCCTCTACTTCTAAATTGCTCAATATTCACTCTATATGAATTGGAGCCTATCTATTAGGTTCATTATCTATCTATAATATCATATAACTTCACTGAATAGCCACATTGCCATTAATACTTCAACAACCACAATAATGACAAATTTAATGTCCATTTTTAGACATTAATGGAGCCCATCATTGAAAAATCATCAAAATCATTTATATTAGGTTTAAATACTCTAAACAACTCCTTTTAACTCCATTTGAGTCAATGGGTTTAGACCCATAACCCATATGGACCAAAATCACCATCTTTATCTAAACCTTAACTCAAATCCTTGAGAAAATGGAAGAGGAAGGGAGAAAAAGGATTTAGAAATCTTACCTTAGATGATTTAGAGCTTCAAACCTTCTCAAATTCTCATCGAAGTTGTGCCCTAGCTTCAAACCTTCCATTTTCTCTTTTCTCTTCTCTTTTTTTGTCTCAGGTTCACGTTTGATAAATTGCAGCGGTGCATGGCACAAAGAGATCCTCCTCACATTTGAAGTATCTGTGTGCCACGGCATGTGACATAGCAACATCACTCTTTATTTTTCTTCAACTTTTGATGCCTGAGTGGCCCACCTTGATATCGGGCCCACAATTAGGGCTGAATTGCAATCAAATATAATTATTAGATCTCCCTAGCCACACACCACTTCAACTTACTTAATTATTTTAATTAGGTTTAATTAATCAGGAGATTAAAACTGAGATTTTATAGGGTGGGGTCTCTGCCACCACCTCCTCTAACGTTACTTATTCAATAGGATGTTGAACCCCCATGTGTTTTAGATGGCCATTTTGGGTTTGTCACTAACATAACCAGAATTGGTTGATGGCTATATAGTGATAGCCTCACTTTGTAATTTTCCTTTAGTATCTTGCTTTCGTTTGTTTTGGACTAAGCTTTAGGAGCTTCCTTTCATTTTTTGTTTTCCCTTTTGTTGATTGAATGAAATCCTTTGGCAAAATAAAAAAAGGTTTCTAGAAAAAAAAGGCAATGAAATAGATTAAAGAAATAAAAATAATATTTTTATTTTTTATTTATTTCATTGCCTGATATTTTGGAAAAGATGGGGGTATTCCCATCTTCCAACCCAATCCAAACTTTCATTATGTGAGATTGTTGTTACGAATGGAAGCCTGTCAGGTACCTTATATATGTCTTCGACATTTATATAATGTAATCACATATTTTAGAACTTAAAACTTTGAGATAAACTAATTTAATTTTGATTAATTGAACCAAACATTTTTAAGTAATAACATTTCTTTAGTATAATAGTTAATTCCATAGTCATTTTTTTTATCATCTTTCTTATGAAAAAAAATAACTAAATATCACAAATGTTGAAATCATTACATCCTTCAAACTTTTACAAATCTCACAAATTATGACCCTTAATTTTATGAATTAAATTATTCCCCTTTCATATAGACATGTGTAACCTTTCTCTCCTTTACACTTGATTATTTTATTTTTTCTTCTATCTCTTTAATCCATCTTATTCTCATCATTTTTCAGATTTTCAATTCAAATCCCTTTCTCTTGATTTGTTTGAGAAATCATTTGTGATAGAGTAACAATAAAAAAAAAAACCATGACTTTTACCCCTTTTTTGCCCGAAAAACATGATTTTTACATGTACATTTCTCAAATCTTACTCTGGAGCCCCACTCCCCCCACCTTTTTTTTTTTAAAAAAACTATCCTTAGGCACTAAAGGGGATGCAATCATTATTAAGAGATACATTAATCCCTTTTTATACGATCATTAATAAACTTTGAGTGAATGTTTTCTTATATTTCTCTTTCAACAGAGCATCACCATCCTACATCTAGACTTTCATGTTGTAACAGCTTCAACAACTACATCACCATCAATATAAAATATAAATATATAACATGAATTCTATTGTGAGCCATAATGCAACTCATCTCAACATCCATATAATGCATGAAAGGCATGTCTAGTCTGCCTCAAATAAATTTTACAATTACAAGCTGACCATATATAATAAAAAGGAAAAATAAGATAAGGAATAAAAAGATGAGTAAATTCCATACCTAGTCTTACTTTCTTATGTCTCACCCCATTCAACAGAAGAGTGCCATTTCTAACACGTGACTTGATTGGCGATGCTAAAATTGTTCTCACTGTGAAGCCAAAATTTCAAATGTCTTGCCAAACTCTTTCAAGATATGAAGGTATATAAAGAATCTAATTTATATTTAGCATAGCTCAGAAATAAAGTAATAAATGTTCAGCTGTATCTTTCCACATTTTGAGGCCTTATTCCCATCTTAAACATGCCATGGACCATGCAGTCCATAACCGCCTAAAAGCTTTTATTTAATTTAAATGAAAAAAGAGCATTACAGAGAAACTACTCAGAGGGTAGGTATTTTCCTCTATTATTTACAAGCTCCTAGAGAAAATATACATCATTAACCCGAAAGCATCTCTTCAAAGTGGAAGCAGGACTTCTGTTAAACCCTCTGCCGTGAGAACGAGCTCCACCTTCAGGATAAGGAAACAACACAAAGCTTCTTAAATGACAGTTCCACTGGGAATCAATGCATCCTTGATCACTGTCACTATACCGCTTTTTATGAAATAGCCATCGGTTTCCCTTGCAGCTTCTTGAACACTGTCAGTATTGAGGATCTGAGAAAGGAAATCTGGTTAGACTTGTTTCCAACAGAAAAGCATACATTTATACTCCTTTTTGTGCTAGAGAGCCACTTTCTCTCATTTTTCATTACAGTTACCACTCAGTTGTGAGATGAAAAGTAAAGGGGGAAAAAAAACCTAGTTTCATTGAACAAGTAATGTCAAGTAAGAATGTTAGACGAGGACTAAAGAAATTAGTTAATTCCATAATAACCTTAACGTCTTCCCCAATACGAGCATTTTTGTCGATTATTGCCCTTTTGATATGAGAGTCCTTTCCGATACCAATTGGAACACTGCCTTTAGCAGCAAGGAACCTCCTATCAGCATCAGTCTGGAAGAGACAATCAGAGAGAGAATTGCAATCAGTCACTTGGATCAGTTACATTGTCAGTGGTATATAACTTAAACAATTGGTGCAAGTTACATCGGTAAAAATAATATCACCTCATAGTAATCTGCCCCCATCAAAAGTGAGTCTTCTATAATTGCCCCCTCTGATATGCAAGATCTCAGCCCAACCACAGAATGGTGAATTTTGCAGTTCTACACCATAGATTATGAAAAGAAAGTTAGCTTCCCCTACTTTTTGATTGGGATCATGCCAATGTTCAAATAATCTCACCTTGATTACACAACCTTCACCGATAACGCTATCAGTGACATCAGCATTAAGCATCTTGGATGGAGGCAAATATCGAGGTTGGGTGTAAATTGGGGCTGAACGGTCATAGAAACTGAAATTGATAACCCAAAATTGCAGACATTTATGATTTAACCATAATGATAAAGCTGCAACCATTAAAGCACACTGACAATAGAATGGTTATATCAAATAATTATAATTAGTTACCTGAAATCTGGCACTGGCTTTTTAGTGATGCCAAGATTTGCATTGTAGAAAGCCTCGATCGTACCAATGTCCTCCCAATAGCCATCATATAAGTAAGCTTGCACCTGTGAAAATTCACAAAGGTAATATCAAACCCATAGAGAGTAGGGATTACAGCCATGATGGAAGAATTCTATAAATCAAACATAAAACTCTATAACAACAAAGTCTCAGCATGAAATTTTTATGCAGTTTCAATGAATTTTTTTTTTAACTATTGAAAATCATAACCTGGAAAACGGTTAAATAGATTAACATTTATATTTTATACCAATTTGTGAAATTCCTCTAAAATGCATGTAGTGCAGAAGTCAAAGCAGCAATTAGCTCAATGATCAAAGTAAATAAATAAGTACTTAGAAAATCTGAATGCAATTTTATCGTAAGAAAAATCAAATTCCAAAGCTATATTCACACATAAAAAGAAGAGGAAACTTCTCCGATTGATCAAAATTGAAATGAAGCCATACTCTCATTCCAATAGAAGTAGCACCAGGAATGACTTCACTTCCAAAGTCATTTGCGCCAGGAAATTTGTCTCGGAGCAGATCTAACATCACATGTTTGCTGACAACATATATACCCATGCTAGCAATAAAAGGCATTTCCTTTGCTCTCTCATCATCAAGACCCAAAATAGTAGTATCAACCTAGTAGCGAAAAAATTGACACAAACAATTAATCAATTGAATAGGTAATATCTATCAGATTAAGTAACATGAAAGGTATATTTTATGGGGTTCACCTTCATAGCTTTCAATTGTTCTCCTTTTGGCTTCTCTGCAAATTCAATTATGCGTCCTTCTTCATCAATCTTCATCAGACCAAATGCAGTGGCACGCTTTTCATCCATTGGCAATGCAGCCACAGTAATATCGGCATCAGTTTCTCGGTGTGCTTGAATAAATTTCTCATAATCCATTCGGTACAAATGGTCACCAGCAAGAACCAAGAACTCCAACACATTGTGCTCCTCAAATAGCCATAAATATTGCCTAACAGCATCTGCAGTGCCCTGCAATGACAAGATCGAAGGCGATCAAGCAGCAATCATGCTGAATTCCATTAAAAAGTTAAAAGAGATAAAGATGATATGGTAATTGCTAAGTTAAACATTCAAAACCAGGCCAATTTGTAAGCTTCCTTATAAGTGGGAGGTCACGGGTTTGGTACTGCGTGTAACCTCGTGTGCCTAATTAAAAAAAAAAAAAAAAAAAGAAACATTCAGGACTGGGTTAGGGATATGACCTGGAACCAATTTGGATTCTCAGGACTTTGCTGAGCAGCAAGAACCTCGACGAAGCCCTCATTTTTGTAGCCACCCATGTTGCTTGCATATGCACGGGAAAGATGCCGATTGAGAGATGCAGAATTGAATTGGGTAAGAACATAGATCTTGGATATGTTGCTATTTAGGCAGTTGCTTACAGGAATATCAATCAGCCTGTAGTTCGCTCCAAGAGGAACGGCTGGTTTCGCCCGCTTCTTCGTCAATGGGTAAAGACGGGTTCCAGCACCACCTCCAAGTATAATGCCTAGCACACTCTGCATATTGTGATACCAATATATCAAACATTTCCGTCGAAACTGGTTCTCGTGAAATTCAATTACAGAGCCCAAAAACACATGTAATCCATTCTTTTGTTATAAGAAGAATCCTCACACTCTCAATCAGATTTCTGAACAAACCAAAGAAACAATCACCATTTTATTCCTAATAATTGAGAATAAAATCCCATTAAAACGGGAGGGAAACCAATGAGATAATGCTATAAGGATCAAAAATCGAATTTGACAAAAAAAACTCAGATAAAAATAAGAGTGTTTTACTCCTCCATTAAGGAGAAGAAAAGATAATTTAAACAACACATTATAAGAACAGAGATATAACTCACGCGGCTAGCATCCGGGTCAAGACATGTCTGGGAGTTCCTAGAATCAGAAACAGCCTTTGGCGTGACAATCACCGGATAGCGGCTGCCCGAGCCGCCGCCTCCCACTGAAACTGCGATCTTATCACCAGAAAGCTGTGAAGACGAGAAACACAGGTTTCTTGAGATGGCTTTCTTTATAGACCCATTGTTAGACGAAGAAGAAGAAGCAGACGATGAAGATGGCACCTTCAGAACTCCGATCGCACCAGTGGACGCCATTGCATTAAGCTTTGTTGTAGTGTGTTGTGTTCTCTCGTGTGAGAGATATGACTGAGATTTGTGGTCCAACTATTAAGTCCAAAATGAAATGTGTGATTTCCTATTATTATTACTCGAAATAATTTATAGGGTTAATTTATGTGATGGAGATTGCAGATATCATTTTGGTCTGCGTTTTATAATATTTGTCGTTTTTGGTGAAATGTGAAAAACGACAAAGAAGAATTGGCGACCCAGATCTGAAATTGTGCAACGTAGACCAAGTGGACGTCGTTTGAGGCTTGGGAAGAGCGTTGCAAATTGCAGTGTGGGGTCACGTGAAAATTCTGTAAAGTGATCGTGAACCGTCGGGTTATTGGTTTATCGAAACCATTTTCCATCGTTGATTTTTATTAATATTTTAAATTTTTACTCAAAAATTTGAAAAATTAATTTTAAATTATGATTAAAGTAATTTAATACAAGAATTTACATTTTAAGAGGAATTTCATATTGAAAGTAAGGACGAGAGAATTTGTAGAAGAACAGATTTTGTTATTTGAAAGGATCATTAACTACTGAGCATATTTCGGCATATTTCGGTGCATTAGAATTGTTGAGTTAAAAGTAAATATTATTTTATGATTAATTAATATTAAAAGATGTAAATATTTTTTTAAAAATAATTCAAACAGTTTGCATGTAATAAAAATCTATACAAAATAGCTTAATGGATGTATTAAACTGTGTGCATCTCTATCATACTATATGCAAAAAAAATTAATTTAAAAAAATAATTTTTAAATTATTTTATCAATTTTGTTATCTGAAACCACCCTATTAACCTAACGATAATTATAATATGACCATTTACACCACCGTTTTTTTTTTTTAAGAAACCACCCTTTTATCATATAAATAAATATATAATTATGTGGGGGACTTTATTAGTGTTTTAGAATTCTTTAAAACTTGATTGATATTAAATTGCTGTTTTGGAATTTATCCATCATCCTCTTAAAATTAAATTAAATACAAAGAAATTAGGGGAAAGAGTAATGAAGGACTATCGGAACAAATTTATATTAATTAAAGAGCAGTTCTTATCAAAACTTGAATTGAAAATAAGTCCAAATAAATTATTATTAATTTAAAATAAATTATTATTAATTTAAAATAAATTATTATTAAAACTTAAATGGATATTTATTAATAAACAGTTAACCCAAATCAATAAGTATCTATTTAAATTTTAATAATAAATAATTTTTAATTGATATAAATTTATTTCAACAGTCCTTGATTAATATTTTTTTTAAGAAATTACTACCCTACATAATTATATATTTATTTACATATGAAATTAAGGCGTAAACATTGAATAAATATTAAAAATAAAGGAAGTGAATGATTGGGCATGGGAGCTAAAAAAAAGTGCGCAGAGGAGCACCGTTGAGACTTGAGGATGGTGACTTTGCCTTCTAATCATAACGAAAGAGACATTGAAACACTTAAAAAAGAATCAAAATGATTGAATCAAAATTTTATAATCCATCTTTCAAATCATGATTCATTCCCTTTTTAAAATTATATTTTGAATCAATATCAAATATATCAAATCAATATATGAAAAATCAATATCAAATATATCAAATCAATATATGAATATATGTGTGTGTGGGGGGTAAAAAAAAATAAAAATATCGTTGATATCTTAAAATAGTAATAGTAGTATTTTTTTTAATAAATTGGAAATTGATGTGAGTTTGAATTCAGCTTTTTGGAAAAAGAAAATATATAAAACATAAGTGTTTTGCTACAGTTTTCTAAGTAAACCCATATGAATTGGGAATGGTGAGCTGAAAAGGAAGGAAAAAGTGTAAACGTGGACTTCGTCGGGTCGTGATTATTTCATCTAAGTAGGATATTTTGTTAGAATAAAATATTTTAAAAAATAAAATTTATTTGTATTAATACTTTAAAATCTACTTGTTATAATTTGATTCAACAAACTGTATTAAACATCTAAGTCCAAGTATTCAAGTCTTCCCCTATTAAATTCACAAGTTAGCTTTCATGCCCAGCATATTAAAATTGTTTTCTTTTATAAATGGATTGATTGGTTTAACTTAAAATTTTATTACCAAGGGTTTGATTTGCAAGTGCTTGGACAAAATATTCTAATAGAATAATTTAAGGAAAATATGATTTAAATTCTAAGTGCATATGTTCGTTGGACATTTTAATTAGCTAATACTTGTTAATATTTTATAAATGGAACATCCTGATAGGTTGTCTTGTTCATTGGGTCATGATGATACACACTATATATATTGGTGATTGATATGATGGATGAAGTATTCTTATAATAAGTTGCAGCAGCTGCTGAAAGCCAAAGCTCATGAGCCTCAACACAAAAACATGGAGTTGGACGTGTGGACATTTTCTTGTAGTTGCAATAATCAAAGAACAAAACTAGTTGTGTATGGCTTGAAGTCTTGGACTCGTCCTTGAATTTCATGAACTGTCTAGCCCATTGGTTGCTGCCAAGTGCGTATAACAGACCTGAGTGACAACAGATATGGCAATGGTGCTCTGCTAATACACATATGATGGAGAATGCACTTGTTTCTGTCGTTTGCAAGAAGAACAACCTCATCTAAAGAATGAAGGATTCTGAAACATTTTTTAGACCCTTTTTTCTAATTCTTACTACTTTTATTTTTTTTAATATTTGAAATGTTCTGTCAAAAATAAAAAATTGAATTGTGATTCAAATTAATTTAATTTAATAATTCACATTTTAAGCATAATTTCATATTGGACATGGGAATGAAAGAATTTGTAAAGGAAAATGTCTTGCCATTTGAAACACCTGGCTCTTATGAGTTCAAACTCATAAGCTTAGTTTCTCTAAATTTGATCATTTTCTGAAAACTTAACTTTTATTTAAATGGCTCAGGGTCAAGTCTTAAGCTCATTTTTTTAAAAGATAAAATTTAACATTATAACATTATAAATTAATTAAAATCCCTTAAAATTTAACGTGAATAAAACAAATATAGATCCTCAATTATGTCACAATCATAAGTCAAGCTTTTACATGCTAATCACTCTGAGATATGCATGTACAAATGGTATATAGATAGGATGAAAGAAGAGAATTAATCCTAACTCATCATGACAATCCTATATATTTAAAACAATAGTCTTACATCACAAAGCCACCATCACAATTCACAGTTAACATTCTCATGGCAATTTAAATTTAAATTGGAAGTAAGAGAAACCAAATACTCCACATTTAACTTGCTTAACGAATCAAAAAACAAAATCAATAATTATTTCACAATATCATACTATCACGAAAAATATTTCAAATAACAAATTCACTAAGGAAACAAAAGGAAGATGGTTAGACAGGGTTTATGGCCACAAACCTCATTTTAATTCATAAAGTAAGTTGGATTATGAATGTATTTAAAAAATTAATACTGGCATGGCGAGCCACCCGAGCTCAAGTCCATTTTAACAAGGCCTAACAAGGCTAGGCTTATAAGGCTAGTTACATTAAAATATATATAATTTTTCAATATCAAATCCTTATAAAAATAGGCTTAAACAGGAAAATTGTTAGGCCCAAACCATATTCTCAACTCTAATTTGAAGGGATGATTAATTACTCAACATATTTCCATCATGAATTGTTGTTCTAAAAATAGATATTATTTTATTATTAATTAATATTAAAAAATATGAGGATTTAAAATAAAAATTATTGAAACAGCTGGTATATAATAAACCATCTATACAAAATAGTTTAATGAGTGTATTAAACATTTGTTGGCCCAATTTTTAGAAGAGGGGTTGGAGCATCAAGACCTTTTGAGTATTTTAGAGTACCAAGCAGGCCAGAGGAGTGTGTTCTCAAAAGAGTGAGTCATAATCAAATGATAAAAACAAGTTCCTAAAGTCCTTACTACAATTTTCTTAGAGAATCAAGTTACTTGCAAAAGTAATAACAAATGCATTGTGAGAGAGTGTAAAGCTTGGTGGTATTACTTGAAAAAAGTAAGTACAATGAGGAGTTCCATAAATACAAAGAAGCAAACAAGTTTGGAAAACTAGCCTAAAAAGCTAAGTTTACATAGAGAAAGTGAGTCACATAGAGCAAGATTGAAGATGACATTAGGTCATAAATAAAGTAATTGTACTAGGCAAGTGTAGTGTAAATTTGATAGAGTGTTCAGTCTCTTAGTTACATGCTCCTTGTCTATTTATAGCAAAATGGCAACGGCACGCGTTTCTTTTGAATTTTGATTTTGGCGCGATTAGAAGCAAATAACTGTTCATGCCTTCAGCTCCCTAGTAGAGCTCTATTGTGTGAAGTAGTAGGAGTAGGAGCATTGAGAATCTCAAAGAATATGAGGAGTGGGTGCAATTATAAGGTCTCACTTACTACTCCATGATTATCTTCAAATATAAGATAATCATGAGAATAATCCAAAAGGATTACCAAGTTTGTAAAATTAACATAACATCCCAAGTTTTCAAAAGGCTTTCCAAATTTATCTTAATATCAAATCATAATAAAAAATAAAAGTTAAACTAGTTTATGGAAGCATAGAAATCTGAATTGTGTAAAAAGCATTTGCATTATCATTGGAAAACACTCCTTCATCACAAAGACAAAGGTATGCAACCACATTCTCTAAAATCACCATGGCACATTTGCCTTTGTGCCATACGTCACGACACATTGCATACATTTAACAATAATTTTGTTGTCATAAGATAGCACCTGAGACAAATTCAAGCGTGTCCCATTTCTCCTTTTGTCATCCGATTGATATAATCTAGATGTCTATAGAGAGCTTTTTTTGAGCTCTAATTAATAACACTGACTTTACATTCAAATCATTTTCAATCAAAAGTTAGACACTCATTTCCAAACTCGCTCTTTTATCACAATAACACATAACTAAGGTATCTAATACCTAATCCAAACGAACTCGTGCAACACACCACGACAACCAAACAATACATAAATCACATTTTTATTTCTTAACCCTTTCATTACAACAACAAAAGGGGGAG